GCCCTAGATCCCACCCAAACCACGAGACTCCCACTCCCCCCGCCCCTTGTCACATCAGGACGTTCGATCCGATGTCGGGCTCTAAGCTTTCGATGCAAGTACCCTCCTCTGTTGGGGCTCGTTCCGATCCTGGCAAGGCACGGTAAGCTTCGTCTGGTCGAACAGGTACGCTCTAGGAACCTTCCAAGACCAGGTCTTAGTTACTACCTGACATGAGGGGCTCGAGTCGGCGGATGATGTGATGAGCCTAACCTTCCTGTGTCCTCTTCTTTCTGAACATGTGGTTAAGTATTCACGAACCCTCAAGGCGACAGGGTAGCAACCTCCAAGCCTTAAGCCCTTGAAGCCCTAGACCCCAAGCCACTTTCAAACGCTTAGGTCTGCCTCCGTCCAGATGTGACGAACTACTCGGTCACGGAGGCCCCAATGTTCCAGGAAGTAGCCTTCAAAAGTCGCAGGGTAGGGCTCAGGGTTGAGGGTTTAGGGCTTATGTTTCAGTGTTTAGGCTTCAGGGTTGACGTTTCAGGTTTCGTCTTGGCTGAAAGAAAGAGTGGCACCACTACACCATTTATTCAGAAGCCTCGATGCTAGAAGCCGCAAGACGGATCGAATCCCCTGGAGGACCCGAAGTCTAACCCTGCCCAAATCAGCCCTTAAGGGGTTTAGCCTTAGGTGTTGGAGCTAGGGGTGCAGGGTGTAGGGTTTATAACCCCTACGCCCCACACCCCGACACACTGGGCCCAAATTATCAGCCCTTACACAGGTGAGTATCATCAAGAGCCACTTCGCCGTCACGGTGAACTGTGCTCCAGGATACACGGGGAAGCCAGTCGTCAGTATTTGTCCCGAGGCGAGTCGCCAGACTGAATTTGGTCTTAAGGCAGAGAGTAGTGGAGGGTTTTTTGGGGTTGTGTTTGCACGCCGTTTAGGTTTCATGCGTCTAGAGTCAGAAAATACCCTAAACCCTAAACTCTCGAAGTGACTAGTGGAGTAGAGGGACAAGGGCCTATAACAAAGACAAGCCGAAACCGAAAACCCTAAACCCGAAAGGCTTCAGGCGTTTAGGGGTTGGAGTTTAGGGCCCCTAGATTCTGCGGTTTGTTTTGGGAACTTGCTTGTGCCCGCATTGTAGTTGAATGCATGCTTGAAGTTGCAACCGAAACCACACGGTCACTACGCTTTCATGCCCATCCTGACCTGAGTTGATGACCTCACCGGATTCGAAGGTAAGCCATATGGCCTGGAGGGATGCAAGTCGGAGATGTGCGTTGCGCCCTCCGTGTCCACGGGCTACAAGGTCTCGAAGGCGGGCGGCGAGGGTTCAGGTTGGCTTGGAAGTTCACTGTGTTTAGGGAGATCTTGCGACTTGGCAGGTGAGCCTGGAGAAGGCAAGCTTCAGCGCGACGGTTGAATGCGATGAAGGATTTGTAGGCAAGGCAGTGGTGGCCGCTTGCGGAAAGGATGGCGAAGCATTCATGTTGTCTGGCTGCGATGGCACAACCACGACGACTACGACTTCGACAATTACCAGCACCAAAACCACTACCTCGACAACGACGAAGACATCAACGACTACGACCTCTACAGTGACAACCACGTCCACAACTTCTACGTCCACAACCACATCTACGAAGACGACCACCTCCACTACAACCAAGACCACGACAACCACAACGACCACCTCGACAACGACAGTGACCTCTACGACGACCAGCACTGTCACCACAACCACGTCCACATCCACGACCACAAAAACGTCAACCACAACCACTACAACTAGCACATCAACTGTAACTACAACAGTGACGTCCACAACCATCACCTCCACAACCACCTCAACTTCAACCACAACAACTTCCACAACGACTGTCACCACCACGACGAAGACATCCACCACCACGTCAACTTCCACCACTTCAACATCTACCACAACTGTCACCACGGTCACTAGCACGAGCACTGTGACCACAACCTCGACTTCAACGTCCACTTTGACAACAACAACTACGACGACAGAGACAATTACGAGCACGTCCACAGTGACAACAACGACCTCCACGTCAACGGTGACCACTACTACAGAGACTTCGACAACCACGGTGACATCCACAACCACAATCACCTCTACCACTTCTACGTCAACCGAGACGAGCACGAGCACCGTCACAACGACTGAAACTGAGACAAGCACAACCACCAGCACAAGTACAACAACTACGACAGAGACCTCCACGACGACCCATACAACGACCACCACTTCCACTGTCACTGAAACAAGTACTTCAACCACAACGAGCACGACTACAATCACGTCAACTTCAACGTTGACGACCACAGCTACGACAACAACCGTCACGGAGACGACTACGTCGACGACAACGGCAACTACCACAACCACCACGAGCACCACAACAACTGAGACCTCTACAACAACTGTGACATCCACAACCTCCACTTCTACGACGACAACAACATCAACTACAACTACAACCACAAGCACCACTACAGTTACCTCCACAAGCACGACAACATCGACAGCCACCACAACCTCCACGATTACCTCAACAAAGACCACGACAACTACGACATCGACCTCCACGTCCACGACCGTTACATCTACTTCGACGAGCACGGCCACCACTACCACAACCACGTCGACGACCACAACAACAGAGACAACCACTACCACCACCAGTACTGTGACTACCACCACAGTTACCTCCACAAGCACGACAACATCGACTACCACCACAACTACATCGACGGTTACAACGACAACCTCTACAAGCACAACAACCACCACAAAAACAACAACCACAACGACCTCGACCACAACGACCACGACAACAGTTACTACATTTCAGTCTACTTCCACCAGCACATCTACAGAGACATCGACAACCACCGTCACCACTACCACCACTTCTACCGAGACCACTACCACCACATCCACGTCCACCTCGACTACTACAAAAACCTCCACGGTGACAACAACCACTACAAAGACGACCACTGTCACAAGCACCTCCACGACAACCACGACTACGACCAGCACGACTACGACCACTTCGACCGTAACTTCAACGACTACTACAACATCGACAACCACGTCGACCTCCACGACGACGGAAACTTCCACGACCACATCCACAACAACATCCACAATCACATCGACCAGCACCACAACGACGACCTCGACCACCACAGTTACCACAACCACAATTACCACGACAAGCACGAGCACTTCGACCACCACCACAACATCAACCTCTACTACCACGTCCACCACCACCTCAACTACGACGATTACCTCTACCTCCACCTCCACTTCGACTACTACGACTTCAACCACCACTACAACTTCAACGTCCACATCCACAACCACTTCCACTACTACCCTCACCACTACGACCATCACGAGCACATCAACGACAAGCACTTCTACGACAACGACGACCTCCACCAGCACATCCACATCTACAAGCACAACCACTACCACCATCAATTATCCCGATACAGTTCTTTGCGTTTCCCCGTCGGTCCCTGCGCTGCATGTTTAGTATGCCCGCGCTGCAGAGTTCTTGTTCGGTTTGAGCTGAGCATGCGTTGCCCCAGGACACAACTGGGTATGTCATCTCGGAATACGTTCTCCGAGCGAACTCCTTCGATGTGGCTGTCGATTGCGCGTCCGGCTACACCGGCTTCTGGGCCAAAGAGAATAGTTCCATTCGTGTACGTACCCTGAGCCCTGAACCTAAACCATGATCACCTCAACCCCCCCCCCTCTCCCAGATAGAGCTGTGCTGAACCCCACAAACATTTGGCCTTGAGCAAAGTGGTACACGAATGAAATTCGCGATCCGGTTCCGGCCTGTGGAGCTGCTGCTAGTCAACTGGTTCTGGGTTTGGCGCTCAGGGAAGATTGTGAACCCCGCAAACACCACGAAAGAATGCTGTTGACATTTCAGGTAAGCCCTCCGTGAGAGTCTGCGAGAATCCCACCGAGGAGGCCATCAGGGTTTTCACTTCAAACTCAACCCTGCGTTCTCAGCCCTATAGGCCCTAAGCCCTTAAGCCCTCAACCCTAAACCCTCAAAGCCCCAAGTTTAGTATGCACCTTACCGGGCTAAGGGTTTTGGGTTCCCCAAGACTCCTGGTCCTGCGAGGCTCCCACCTCCTACATCCTCAGCGGCTGCCAATAAAGGCCAAGCCGATGGGGGATTTGGGATGTGGGGTTACTCGTTAGAGTTCCGCATTCTGATCAGAGTGCAATCTACCGTAAATTCCTATTCCAAATAATTGTGGCCTCTATGTTAGGGTTAAGGGTCGTGCGTTTTTGTGATATATAGTCGGATCTTACCTTGAAAACTATGGTTTCAAGCTCATGAGATCTCACGAGTGACCTCGATGTCGAGTTTCTTTGTTGTTCTGGCGTTTGTGTTGTTCCTGTATTGACGGTGGGTTGTGAGATGTTGTGCAGGGGTCTTGCGTACGCCGGTCGTGCTTGTGCCTGTTGCTCCGGTGCCGCTCTTTGGGTCCGTTTCTGCATGCTGTTCCCGTAATTAATGAAGATTCTTGAGACCTGTGGTGGTGAGCATTATGGATCTGTGCTTTTGGGGTTTCCGCATGTGCCGGAATTGCTTTGACTCCCTGCTTATGTGGGAGTCCTCCATCTTGAAAGCAAGCTGGTTCGAGCATCTTTTTTGCTACCAGGCATGCGGCTTACGGCTTCAACAAGTGAGCCTAGCTGGCCACCGGTGCCTTTGTACATAACATGTGAGAGGTGCCAGATGTGAAAAAGCTGGACTAGTCCAGATTTGGGGTCCTGCCAGCTGCCCTAGTACAGAGTTAAGCCCCACCTGCACATGACTAGTTCACCGAATTGGGATTGTTGTTGGTGGTTGCTCAATAGGAGGCGTCACTCTTACAAGCATGACCTCCCCCTTCGAAACAAACAAGCTATCCAACTTTAGATCATCGCAGCTTAGCTGCACATGCAGGCACGAAAGCTTTTGCGAGCCGCTGAAGCTGCCCGTGCAGCTGCCTTGTCTTTTGAGATGTGCAGTTGTTGGTTGTGCATGATGGACTCCATGCAAAGATGACAGCTACTATGATGCGGCTGATGTTGACCGCGATTTGGTGCTGATACCGGTGAGGATGCGGACGGCAGTCATGTGATCCATCCTCGTCAGCACCATGAACATCATTTCGTTTCATCGGTGGGTCCGGTATTCGGCTTCTCGTGTGCCGATTTGTTTGGGCACGAGGCGCAAGCGGCCGCTGCCGGCATCAAACACATGCTGGGGGTCCCAGCTTGCAGTTCTGCCTGTCGTCATTATGACGAAGACAACGGATAAAGCTGGTGCCGAAAGGTTATCAACCGGAAGGTTCATCGACTTTTGGCATGTTGTCCTCAGAACCATCAATCCCTAACCCTGAACCCTAAGCTCTAAAGCCCTAAAACCCCAAAACCC